TGGGTAATTCCATGTATGTATCTCACATGTGGATCATAAACGTTGTGGGAAGCAACGTCAGAAACAGTAGTGGCACTTTGAGGGCATCGTAATTCCCTTCTAATTCCTGCTCTGAGACCGACTCCACGGGCGTCCAGGAGGGAAGGTCGGCGCTGCTCAGGCCCTGAGTGAGTGGGAAGCGTGTTGGGGCCCGGCCTGGCCGCCGTGGGAGCTCCTTTTTCTCTTTTTTCTTTGCGACATTCTTTGACAGCATTTCACTTCTTTTTACTCTTATTGTTCTTATTTATTGGTAGCTTATAGTATTGTATAGGAAAGGAAAATGGAATATAAATATACCAATCTACGTTTTTCTGTTATTGTGGTAGTTGAAGTGACTCAGGAAAAAAGTGAAAAATATGACTGTCCAAAGGCAAATGAACTATTCAGCCCAAATCCATATTGTCCCTTAATCATATGACCAAAAAACAAAACTGTGAACCTTAAATGAAGGAAACAGAACAGATTTGCCAGATACAAACCCCCAAATGTTGTTTTTATTAAACATCTAAACTTTTTGTGTGTGTGTGTGTGTGTGAAATACTATTCTTCATTCTAGAAGGCTTTGTAAAACCATCATCTCCTTCCCCAAATGTACTGAGCGTTAAGCACATTCCCTCCCGAGGGAACCTGTTTCTGCTGACCCCGTTTTGGCTGGTGGCCCTCAAGCTTACACTCCCCCAGGACCTGTGTCCTAGGACGGAGGGAGAGTTTGTGGGACGATGAGCCCTGTTCATTCCGCGCCCTTCCCCAGGCACGAGCTTCTGCTGGTGCTGGAGACCCGCACGCAGGAGCACGGTCCGTGTCCACAGGGGACAGGCAGGCATGTAGAGGGTTTTCCACTCAGGCTCGCTTCCAGAGACTCTGCAGGACCTCATCTCACCCTGACAGCACACGCCTCCAGAAGCGGGTCTCCTCCTGCCTCTCACCGCCTTGCCTTTAGTTTAGCTCCCGGGAAGCAGTGTTAATCCTGTGCTCGGATTGTGCTCCTGGAGTTCTTCTGGCTCCATCAGGAGGAAGTTTATTCCCATCGACGGGTAGCTGCAGAGTCTGCTATTCTCGTCTTCAGCGAGGGACCCTTGACTATTGGGTCCCTTTTGCAGGCCTGATGGGGACGGGGACGAGGGGTGGCAGTCTCTTTCAGGCATGCTCAGTTGGTGCACTTTGATCTTAATTTTAGGCTTTTTCATTATGGGAAAACCTTCCATAATTCTGTTTGCCTACAAAATTATAGTGGCCAACTCTGATTATTGATGAAGCCTTATTTTTTAAAGCAGTTTATGTCTTCTAATCTCATTAGGCTGCTGTTGATTGGGCTTTATCTAGGGCCTTTTCTGCAGTATGGCCCATTTAGAAAGATTTCTAATATGTGGGGTTTTTTTTTAAGAGTATGCTAGCACTCAGTCATGTTATACTAAATTAATCTTTTTTTTCCTTAACAGATGCAGCAGCTTTTTTATGAGAATTATGAACAGAACAAAAAGGGGTACATTAGAGATCTCCATAACAGTAAAATTCACCGAGCCATCACATTACACCCCAACAAAAACCCACCCTACCAGTACAGACTCCACAGCTACATGCTCAGCCGCAAAATAGCCGAACTTCGTCATCGCACAATACAGCTCCACCGAGAAATCGTCCTGATGAGCAAATACAGCAACACCGAGGTTCATAAAGAAGACCTCCAGCTGGGAATTCCTCCTTCCTTTATGAGGTTTCAGGCCCGCCAACGAGAGGAGATTCTGGAATGGGAGTTTCTGACTGGGAAATACTTGTATTCAGCGGCTGACGGCCAGCCCCCTCGAAGGGGCATGGACTCCGCTCAGAGGGAAGCCTTGGACGACATTGTCATGCAGGTCATGGAGATGATCAACGCCAACGCCAAGACCAGAGGGCGCATCATCGACTTCAAGGAGATCCAGTACGGCTATCGTCGGGTGAACCCCATGTATGGGGCCGAGTACATCCTGGACCTGCTGCTTCTGTACAAAAAGCACAAAGGGAAGAAGATGACGGTTCCTGTGAGGAGGCACGCATATTTACAGCAGACTTTCAGCAAGATCCAGTTTGTGGAGCACGAGGCATTGGACGCAAAGGAATTGGCCAAGAAAATCAATCAAGAGTCTGGATCCTTGTCCTTTCTCTCGAATTCCCTGAAGAAGCTTGTTCCCTTTCAGCTCCCTGGGTCGAAGAATGAGCACAAAGAACCCAAAGATAAAAAGATAAATATACTGATTCCTTTGTCTGGACGTTTTGATATGTTTGTGAGATTTATGGGAAACTTCGAGAAGACGTGTCTTATCCCCAATCAGAACGTCAAGCTCGTTGTTCTGCTCTTCAATTCCGACTCCAACCCCGACAAGGCCAAACAAGTTGAACTGATGAGAGATTACCGCATTAAGTATCCCAAAGCCGACATGCAGATTTTGCCTGTGTCTGGGGAGTTTTCGAGAGCGTTAGCCCTGGAGGTCGGATCCTCCCAGTTTAATAACGAGTCTTTGCTCTTCTTCTGCGATGTCGACCTCGTGTTCACTACAGAATTCCTTCAGCGATGCCGAGCAAATACAGTTCTGGGCCAACAGATATATTTTCCAATCATCTTTAGCCAGTATGACCCAAAGATTGTTTATAGTGGGAAAGTTCCCAGCGACAACCATTTTGCCTTTACTCAAAAAACTGGCTTCTGGAGAAACTATGGGTTTGGCATCACTTGTATTTATAAGGGAGATCTTGTCCGAGTGGGCGGCTTTGATGTTTCCATCCAAGGCTGGGGGCTGGAGGATGTGGACCTTTTCAACAAGGTTGTCCAGGCAGGTTTGAAGACATTTAGGAGCCAAGAGGTAGGAGTAGTCCATGTCCACCATCCTGTCTTCTGTGATCCCAATCTTGATCCCAAACAGTACAAGATGTGCTTGGGGTCCAAAGCATCAACATATGGGTCTACACAGCAGTTGGCTGAAATGTGGCTAGAAAAAAATGATCCAAGTTACAGCAAAAGCAGCAATAATGGCTCAGTGAGGACAGCCTAATGTCCAGCTCTGCTGGAAAAGACGTTTTTAATTATCTAATTTATTTTTCAAAAATTTTTTGTATGATCAGTTTTTGAAGTCCATACAAGGATATATTTTACAAGTGGTTTTATTACATAGGACTCCTTTAAGATTGAGCTTTTCGAACAAGAATGTGATCAATGTTTGCCTTTGAACACATCTTCTTGCTGAACATGATGTAGCAGACCTGCTTAATTTTGACTTGAAATGTACCTGATGAACAAAACTTTTTTTATATATATTTTCCTTTCAGATCCCTGTGCTACATCCTATGACAGAAAACATGAACATTCCTACAAAGTATTATTGTAACAAAACACTGTAACTCTGGTAAATGTTCCGTTGTGACTGTTAACATTCATAGATTCTACCTTTTGTGTTTTTTACAACAACTTTTTTTTTAAAAAGCCATTTCATGTTCCAGTTGTAAGATAAGGAAATGCGATAATAACTGTATCATCATCTTCAGGAGACCTTTCCAAAGCTGATCATTCGCCCCAAGCTATACTCTGCTCATCATGGTCATGTAGGTTATTAAAAGCAAGAGAAGTAAGGAAAGCACAGTAAGATGTGTGGCTGTTCTTGTTGCAACTCATTTGGCCTAAGTGGACCTGGCATTCAATTTCAAGAAGGATGTGATATTTTCTCTCTCTGACCCTTCTCCTTAAAGGGTAAAATATTAATGTTTAGAATGACACAGAAGAATTATTGTAATAAACCTAATGTACGCAAGCTAAAACAAACACCCCCTAATGAAAATATTGGGGGAAAGTGTATTTGGTTTTGTTCATTTCATCCTGTCTGTGTGATTTTTGGTAGAGATGGTTTTTATTCATTAATTGCTGTTTTTTATCCTTTTTATCTGAGATACCTTTAATTTATTTAATATCCATTGTTCAGAGCTCTGCCATTTCTCGAGTACCCGTTAGTTATTAGTATTTATGTGTATCAGGAGTGTGTTTTAGTATGTTTTATTTGCAGTAAACTGATCTCCAAAGATTTCCTTTTGAAAACGCTGCCCCCTCCCCTTAATTTTTACATTCCTTACTGTTTTACTAAATATTAAGTGTTCTTTGACAATTTTGGTGCTCATGTGTTTTTGGGACAAAAGTAAAATGAATCTGTCATTATACCGGAAAGTTTGTTTTAAACTCACAAATCAAATGTGCCTTAATAAATTTTTTTTTCATTTAGATTTCAAACGGTGGTAGACTTGCCATTTTAATATATGTCATTGGAGATCTGCTTATTTGTAAATAGCCTATTGCTCATTTGGAAAAATAAACCAGTGAACAATATTTTTCTATTGTACTTTTCAGAACCATTTTGTCTCATTATTCCTGTTTTAGCTGAAGAATTGTATTACATTTGGACAGTAAAAAACTTAAAACACGGATTCAAAAAGGTTTTCAGTTTATTTGAGGGAATTATTTCTGTGGGCTGCAGTTGGGAGTGAAATGAAACTAATTTTCAAGTGTCTCTTCCTCTATTTTTTCCTAGAACTAACTCGTCTTTTGTTTGCTCCTCCCCAGCTTACTGCCTCCGAGTTTTCTGAGACAAAGGTCTTCAGACCAGGTCCGGGCTCTGTCTGGAAGATACAAATGTACCTTCCCAGGCCCCACAGAATCTGCATTTTAACAAGTGCCCCACCTGACGCTGTGTGCGCACAAACGATCTCCAGCTAGAGGATAAATGGCATCTGGTTGCTTTATAATCCAAGAATCAAAAAAAGTGAGATCTTTGATGCCAAGGTAGCAGCCTTTTGTGGATGAGTACTACACTCCCAGGATAGGTATTTACAGTGTAATGACAGTTAAGTCGCAGCATAATGACATCGTGCTCACAGAAAGAAATTGCTGTAATCCAGCCTAATTGCCATTTACTCTGTGGGTGTGTTTAGTTTTTTCTTGGAAAAAAGCAGAGACATTTTTATTCTTCAATAAGGAAGAGCATAATATGCCTCTTGATGACAAAGTGATTTAAATTCTATTTATGCTAATAGTGAACCATAGGGATTTGGGATGGCGTGTGAGTGACAGCTCTGTCATGCTTCATGTCTGTCCAGCATCCTGGTGACCCTTGATTAAACTCACCATTCGCTTCCCTGCTCCCACTCTGCTCAGCTGTCCCTCCTCCTGCTAGCGATGTTGGTGTCCACAGAAGCGCCACCTCCCGTCAAGGCTCAGTCTCCAGAGATGTAGCTGGGCCCTAGCTCCGGCTCCCACCCTGGCAGGGCCGCGCCCCGACTCCGCCCGCTGGCCCCAGGCTCCACCCCTCCCAGCTGCTCCTCGTCACCCCAGTGCTCTCCTTTTGCCCTGAGGGTGGACTCGAAAGTTCCATTGGCACCCGGGGGCCCTCCACAGCCCCACCACTGTGCCCCCTCGTCTGTCATCCCCAGCTCCACTGGACACCTCCCCGGCCGTGCTGGGCTCCAGGTTGTGGGGCGTGCATCTCCGCTGCTCAGGCCTGGGCTTTCCCTCCATCTGGCCAGCCCAACTGTGCTCCAGGACACAGCTGAAGCACCCCACTGTCCACTCTGATGCCATCCTGGACCCTTCCTGTGTAGATGTGACACGAGTGGACTCATTCTGTGACCATGTGGTGGTGTTCCCTCACCAGAGCCCCTCCAGGACAGGCCTGGGTCTCCTCCTGGCATTCCCTGGCGTGTTGGGAACCATGGGGCCCTGCTCCCTCCCAGGCCAGTCCCCACCTGCGCGCCCCTGCCGGAGGAATACTTCTGCCCCTGGATGGACTGAGACTTCTCCCCGTAAACAGAACTCTCTATTTATAGCATACATTATTTTTCATCCAGAAATGAACTAAGAAAATGGAATAGGCCATACCCCCACACCAGATAACCGCTGTTAACAATATTTAAAAATTGAGACTAATATGTGAATCGAGTTGAAAAGGGAGAGGCGATCACAGCACACAGAGGCATGGAAATGGAAGCTCCCTCCTCTCTCCAAGCATCCAGCCTCAGGTCCTCCCCACGAGCGACCGCCAAGTCTTGTGTGCGTCAGGGTCAGGAAGAGGTGTGTGTGGGTGTGTGTGAATTTTATGTAGACTAGCAGAGATAGCACTTAAAATGTATGCACACGAACAAGAGCCGTGGGCTCGCCTGGGCACATGGACCTGGCGGGGAGCCCCTGCCAGCCTCTGCCGAGGAGACGCAGGGCCGGTGGACGGGGCTCTTGACCCCGCAGAGGAGTGTGGGGAGGGGAGGGCTGGTGGGCTTCCCCAGCCTTGTGGTTGGACTTGCAGGAGCCCTGCCTGGAATGGGACCAAAACAGCCTTGTCTTGTGGGGCAGACGGCGCTGGCAGACAAGGGGAACCTGCACCTTGCTTCTAGAAGACAGGTCACCTTCCCAAGCACTGTTATTTTGGGCCGGGGTGAGACCAGAGCATGGCCTGAGACCATCCTGAGACCCTCATGTTAGGAGATGAGGGCTGCGTGTCACAAGTCAGGAGACAATCCCTCTGGGCTGCAAAAGCAGGCAGGCCCCGGATGTGAGAGGGGCGTGGTGCTGGGAACCTGCTGTGCGGAGGCTCCCCAGCCCCAAGGCCAGTTTGCTGCCCACCGATCTCCATGATCACGCAGTCACATTCTGGAGCCTTGCGGGCAGAGTCTGCTGAGCCCCCTTCCTGCCCTCGCGCTCTGACCACATCCTATTTCACAAAGGCCTTAAAGCCCAGGCCCTGACTCAACCCAGGAGTGGACGTGGGGTTTCTTTTTCCCAGACAGCAGATGCAGGGGGCGTGGCTGATACATGCCTTTGCCCCTAGTCCGCTCGGAGCGCTCACTGGCTGTTTGTCATGGTGTTTGACCCGAGCAAAGTGACAGCCATGTTTTGCTTCCTTCCCGCTCCCTTAATGGATCACCTGGAGATCAGGGCGCTCTCTGCAGCCGCCTTCGTTTATTGCTCTGTGTTCGTGGAGTCAGATGTATGTGAGTCGCAGTCACCACGCTCCGTCTTGTCTTATAGGGAGGCATCCTCGGGCTGCGGGGTCTTGCCTTTTGAGACCCACCCTCCAGGAAGGTGACACACCTGCAAGGACGCCTGCCCGCTGCACCACTCACCAGCGGCTGAGGGGTCCCACCGGGCCCCGTGTGTCTAAAGTTTCCTCTTCTGTTCTCTTGTCAGGGAAGGAACCAAGGGCCGGCCCTCCCCACACCTGCACAGACGCCGCCCTGGGGAATTAGGCTGCATTACTGCTGTATAAATTGCTATAATCTCTGGTGCAAAGGAGCTTATGTGCTTCAGTGGCTGGGGAGCTTGCTGGGGGGTCTGTGAGCTAAAGGGCTGCATAGGGCTGCTGCCTGCCTCGGTGGGTCCCACTGTGCTTTCCCACCCCTCAAAAGATGTCCCTTTCTGTTCCACTTGAAAATGCTCGCACCACATCTGCTTAGTGTGACTTGTTATGGACGCGATGAAAACGTAGAGTTAAGTGCAGAGGATCAGATTACAGCGACTCATTTTGAATGACTTCCAGTAGAAAGAATAAGCTTCACAGTTTGGTTTGGTTTTGTGCAGGAGTGTGGGGGTGAGGGGGTGGGTGTAGATCTTCAACCGGAAACCAGGAGGCCCACCAGATTAGGGGCTGGCTTGTCCTCAGTGCCGTTAAACCACTCACATGTCTGGCGTCAGATAGTTCTTAATGTGTTTAATTTACCATTCATTATATTTCGGTTATGAGGGTCTTCATTTCTTACTAATACAGACAGAAATGAAATTGTGTCCTTCAAAGAACATTCTAGCTACACTTCCTTTAAAATGGTCTGAGTAGTCAGTTATGCCTGACTGCTTTTTAATGAGAAAGTGTAATAAGAAATTGATCAAATCGAAGATAACAGAAATTAAACGAGCGCTGGAATCTCCTTAAATGAAGCTGGCATGTCTGTAATGGGCTGCTCTCCAGTAAATCGGTCCCTCACAGTTAAGCTGGCGACGCTCCTGCCCGGGCTGCCACCTCATCTTCCCTCTTGCCAACTTTTGCTGCGTCTCATCACCCTGGTCAAGCCTCGGCCCTGGGCACACCTACCTTGTTGCTCCACAGACATTCCCATCGGAGAAAAAAACGACGCCAGCGAAACCTCAAAGTGACCTTCAGATT